TGACTCTGGGCCCAAGAGTCCCCAGGTCTTGCCACACTGCTGGTCAACCAGGTCTTCACCCGGGTTCACAGAAGTCTATTGAACATTGTAGGGCTTAGCTCACCGCTTCATTGCTGTTTTTCCCTCACTTCCCCTTATCCGTGTCAAGTGTGGTCACCAATCACAGCGTGTATTCCCATTGAGTCTTAGTCTTAGAAGGGGGTTTGCACTGAGGGGACCCGACTACTTGCCTTGATGTTTCCTGGAATGCTGTCCTTTTGATGTTGAATGAGCATACCTTACTAGTATTGTTCTCCCCTCTACATACCTATCTATTGCTTAGCTGAAAATTGGGCCACTAGGGTAAGTTCCGTTCCAGACATGAAGGGGAGTTAAGGGCCATACTTTCAGGTTCTTCCAGTCCCTTTCTGACTAGTAACCCTATTCTAAATTTTTGTATTTTTTTTGCGTTTTGTTCTACATTTTCTCCTACTCTATCCCCAGGACCTTCTAATGTGATCCCTTTTAGAGCAATTGAAAGTGATAGCTGAGTACCATCTACTTCTGGTCTCAGAGTTGTGACAATTGATGTTCACCTGCTCCATTGGTCTATTGGACTAGTTTCCTGACTACATATTTCTTTGATGTTAGATTATTCCATTTGAATTGATCACATTCTGGTTAGCCAAAAAATATTGCTCTGTTGTGATGATTTCAGAACCATGTAAAACATTTCAGATTTTAATTTACTAGTAATTTAGAACATTCAGTGTTTAGGCTTAATTTGTTGTTAAGTTCCATTGAGTTGGTTCTGACCCATAGTGACCCTGTATGGGGTTTCTGATGAGCAGTTGGTGACCTTGAACCGGCAATCTTGCGGTTCAAACTGGCTTTGTAGTCCAGCGCCACACCAGGACTCCCTAGCAGGGGTTGTTGTTGTTAAATGCTCTTGAGTTGATTGCGACCCTGTATAGGGTTTCCGAGGAGCAACTGGTGAGCTAGAACTGCCGATCTTGTGGTTCAAACTGACTTTACAATCCAGCACATTAACTGAAGGTGCCATACCAGAACTCCATAGCAGGGGTCGGGAACCTTTATTCTGCCAAGGGCCATTTGGATGGCCCGTCATTCATGGGCCATACAAAATTAGCAGTTTAACCTGTTATAATGTGATGGCTGAAACTGTGGCTGCCTTGGCAAGGCCAAATGAAATGATTTCACAAGCATTATTGTGCTTCTATGGGTTAATGCGAATTGCAAGGTTGGTGGTTCAAGCTCACCAGCTGTTCCTGAGAAACCCTGTATAGGTTTACTATGGGTTGGAACCGACTCAGTGGCACTTAACAACAATAGCAGCTTTACAGCCTATGGGCCAGATGTTCTTCACTCCTCCTTTACAGGTTTCTGAGACTGAGTCTTTGTGAGAGCAGAAAGTCTCATCTTTATGTCATAGAGCTGTTATTGAACTTTAACTGCACCCACCTTGTGGTTTGCAGTACAGTGCTTATCTTCTAGTGCTAACTTGCCTCTCAGGTGCCTTTCTGGTGCCTTGAAAAAATTGTTGTCAAGTATTGTCTGCTATTTTGACACTTAACAGTAGTTACGTTGAAATACTAGCAGAATATTAAAATGAAAAGCCAAAATTCAAATCAACTGATTTTATTTTAACGTTACAGCTACCGACACCGTAGAACAGAGCAAGAAGAGGATGAAGAACTATTAACAGAAAGCTCCAAAGCAACTAATGTTTGCACTCGATTTGAAGACTCTCCCTCATGTATGTTATGCTTTATTACTTGAGTATACATTTTTTTTTTAAAACCCTCCCTTTTAAGTATCATTTGATGAATGTTTTGCATTTACCTTATGTATTAATTTATATAGGGGATTTCTTAAAATCTTCAAATGAATGGTTGTGAAATAAATCTGGTTTTGTTTTTTTTAAAACGTAGAGATGGTATAGTTTGTTTGTGATGATCCTGTATTACAAAAAATGTATAAAATGCCTTTGTTGCATATATGTAAAGTTAGGGTTGATGTGTTGTTTTTTTCCTTAAGTCATGAATTACTCTGTTTACTAGAGACTTGTTTTTTGCCAGTGCCCTCAGTGTGTCTTGGACATCTTTCGGTACCATTGGTTCTTGATCATATGCTACCACTTGAAATGGTGGAACTTTGACCATTTCTTTCTGGTATAGTGACTTGACTATTCCATCTTCCTGCCTCATTCAATATTTTGCTGATAGAATTCTTAATATTTCATTTAAGGCTTGAAGTTTTTCTTCAGTTCTTAAAACTTGAGAATTGCTTTTGGTTTTCTAACTCCAGATTACTGCAAATTTCATAATAATGCTTTGTCTTCTTGCATTGCATTTTGAAATAGTCTGTTCAGCTCTTTTACATCATTTCTTCCTTTCACTTAAGCTATTTTTCATTCAAGAGCAAGTTTCTGAGTCTCTGCTGACATCCATTTTGTGTTTTGTTTTCTGTCTTCTTAATGACCTTTGCTTTTCTTCATGTATGATCTTGATGTCATCCCATAACTCATCTGTTCTTAGGTCTTTAGGGTTCAGTGTATCAAATCTACTTTAGAGTTGGTTTCTAAATTCAAGTGGAGTATTCTCAAGGATGTATTTTGATTCTCATGAACTTGTTTTAATTTTCTTCCACTTTAACTTGAGCAGTTGATGGTTGCTGCTGCAGTTGGCTCCTGGCCTTGTTCTGGCTAATATTTAGCTTCTCCATCGTTTCTTTCCACAGATGTAGGGGAATTAATTCCACTGCATTTCATCTGGTGAGGTCACATGTAGAGATACTGTTAATACTGTTGAAGAGATATTTGCACTTAAAAGGTTGTTTTGCTGTTGGCTGTGTGCTGTCCAGTCGGTTCTGATTCATAACGACCCTGTTTAAGGTTTCCAGAAGTGACTGGTGGGTATGAACTGCTGACCTTTTGGTTGCCAGTGCCACACCAGGGCTCAAAAAGGTGGTTAGTCTTGCAAAATTCTGTCATGCAATCTCTAGCATCTGTTCTATCCACAAGTCAATTTTTTTTTTTTTTTTTAATTTCCAGTGTTCACATTCCAGTTACCAGTAGTTATCAATGCATCTTGATTGTGATTGATCAGTATTTCACCTGCAGAAATTGGTAGAATTGCTCAATCTCTTAATTTTTGCCTTAGTAATTGGTGCATAAGTATGAATTAGAATTGTATTAACTGGTCTTCCGTATAATCACCATAGCATTGTGCTTCAGGACAGATAATTTGAAATGATCTTTTTGACACTATGGCATAACAGGCATGGTAGACCATGTGATTATTAGGTTCAACATGGCCAATTCCAGTTTATTTTAGCTCACTGATCCCTAGGGATATTGATCTATAAGCATTCCATTTCATTTGTGACAGCTTGTGATTGTCATAGGTTTTTATTGTGTATATTCCATGTTCTGATTATAATGTATGTATGCAGCTGTTTCTTCTCATTATCAGTCATGCTGTATCAGCAAATAACGGTCTTGAAAGCTTTATCTCATCCATATCATTCAGGTTAACACTACTTTGAGCCCTGTATGATGCTGAACTGAACTGCTAATCACAGTTCAAACCCACCAGCCACTCTCTGGAAACACTTTACAGGATCACTATGAGTCAGAACCAGTTTGAAGGCACAGAGTGATAATTACCACTTGGAGGAGTCAGTTCTTCAGTCATTTTTTTTTTAAAAAAAACCTTTTTATTGTGAATTGTCTGTTTACACAAGATCATCAGCTTTGCATTCAGCAAATGATACGCTTTCTTTCATCTCAATAATACAGTCCCCTCCCTGCAACAACAGTTGTCCTGTTACTTCCCTTTTACATCTTATATTTCACAAATGAACAAAGCAAAAATATTTGATGTGCACATACAAAACCAAAAGTATGTATTCAGTCAGATGTCCTAAGGGCATGTTCTGCAAGCCAGCCTCCTGTTCTCAGGCACACAACCTTACTCAGTCTGTGGGCCTAGAGTCCGCAGCTGCTCTGCTGTTGCAGTTGTTCTAGGTAGGATATCATGCTTATGCTGCTTTTCCTTATTAATTGTCCTAGGATCGTCTGTTCCTGAAGTGAAGGATTTAACTACTCCACCCTTTTAGCCCTCTGTGGTTATGTCCTTGTCCATGGGCTCAAGTGTTCCCAGGTCTCACCACACTTTGGACCAGCCAGCGAATCTTCAAGTCCACGGGTGTCAATGGACTGTGGTTGAACTCAGCCCATTTCTTCATTGCTGCCTTTCCTCCTCTTCCACTCACCAGTAGACCTGTTTGTGTTTCAGTCTTAGAGGGAGTTTGTCCTGAAGGAACTTGATTGCTTTCCTTGATGTCTTCCTGGCAAACAACTTGCTTATTCTTGTAGTAGGCAATCATGCCAACATTTTGTTTTGGGATTTTTCTGATGATCTTTTTTTTTTTTTTTCTTGGTTGCCTACGTGTTCAACTTTATTTTCTTTTTAATTTAAGGTTTTTATTGTGGATTGAGTGAAAGTTTACAGGGCACATCATCAGTTTCACATTCAACAATTCATATAACTTGTTTCATT